CATAGAAATTCCCAACACTATTATATTAAATATATTTTTTCCACTCTTAGCTAGTTATCTCTTCAAGCTTCCCTTTCGAACTAACATTTAATGCTTTAAATCAAAGGATTCATATCCTTAAAAAACAACAACTGCAGTAATTCAAAACATTGCAGATGATATTCCGCCGTATTCAACACCCTTCTGAACACTCAATTTAGACATACAAATTCCAACCCCTGACATTCCCCATCTACAAGGGTCCCAATCAAGTGTGTCCCTTGACCCCTGATCAGGAAGCAAACGCTCTAAAACTAGGCTTCCGTGATCAGCATCGAAGAAGCTCCAAGGAAACAAGGAATTATCAGCTGGAAACTATAGCTGCTGGATTACACTTTATAAAAAAAAACTTCCTTCGAAGTAGTGTAAATATTAATACTTATTCAAAGTAAAAAATAATGAAATATTACGTAAACATGGTCTACTTTCATGACATTTCATTCTGATACTGATAAATATTTACATCCACTGAATATTTTCTTCTTTATTTCTTAAGAAAACCCATTGCGTTCATCACTGCATGAACTACATTAGGCATATCACCTGTACAGATTTCTTGATCAGTGGCCGTTCCATCAATGAAACGTACAAAGACGTTCGCATCATTAACACAATAATTAATATTTTTAATCCTACTTAAAATGATAATTTAAACAGATAAACACCCATAAATATAAACATTTTTTAAAAAATGAAGTTCAAGATAACAATTTTTCTATCAATTACCTTTGAAAGAAAGTATCTGAAGATTTTGTTTCCATCTTTTTTTCATCAAATTATAATACATGAAATAATGACAAGACGATAAAGTAGAGGGTAATTTTATTCACAGCTACGTTACTCTTTCTTCAATTCAAAAAAAAATGTAGTCATTAAAATCAGAAAAAATTTACATAACCCGCTTACGCGGGTTATGATTTTTCCTTTCAAAAAACAAAGGTTACTTTTTGATCCAGATGTGTAAAAAAAATTTTTAAATATATGCTTTAAACTCTTCTCGTTTTGTTTCATTCCAGTAATAACAAACAACATAAAGCATTTTATTGTTTAAATCAAATATACATATTTATAAAATTAACGTTGGGTGTCACAATCACCACTATCGTCAGAATATGAGTAGGTAACGTACATTTATCGCCTCACAGGTTTATTATTGCAGTCACTGACGTTTCTTCCTTCTAATATATTTATTTTGAACCAGATGTATACATACGATTTACGCAAAACGGAATGAATTTATAGAAATGACATTTGAATAAACTTTAAACAATTTTACTTTGCAAAAAGTCTAAACAATACTACAACCCCCCCAAAGTATAAACGCGCAATATAATAAGAAATCTTTAGCAAAATGACAGCAAAAATCATTAAAATGGAAGCACAGGAGAGGCTATAAAAGTAAGCAAAATGAATACACGTATAAACACGAAGAGAGAGCCCAAAAGTTAGGCAGTTGTTCAATTTCATTCCTCTAAGTAGGAGTAATTAATCCTTTGAAACTCTCTTGTCGTATAATCTTTGTGTTTGCAGAGATAGACAAAACCTAACTTTGCGTTTATCAGAAAATTTTTTATACTTTAATACCTATTTTATAGCATTGAACTTCTATGATAAAAATAAATGTGAAAAAGGTTAATATGAGAACATGCAGTGATCGATCTCAAAAAATCTCAAACAAATCAGTGAACAGGACATTAAACATGGACCCCGGAAATTTCAGAGGTGGATAATGTGTAGCAAAAGTAAACTCCCCTGTTGAACGATCACACCCTCCGTGAGTCTATACATGTATATTCATCAAGTTTGTATATTCATCAAGTTTGTCATACAATTATAGTTGTTGCCGCTTGGCACAATTGTTAGAGCGTTTAATTTTGATCCTTACGTTCAAATTCACTGTGGATGAGCAGATAAGTCGTATAAACCGAGGCTTCGCGTCGCAATATATACCAGACTGCATATAAAAAAGATTCTTCAATGTGTAATGATCCTGAGTGCCGAGTATACATGTAGGTCTAAAGCACTGCCCTCCACCGGCAAGTAGTAGTAGATTTTACTGCGCTCATCTCTGCGATTTGCATTTTTTTACGGACACAGTGAGGACACAGTTCCGTTGTGACAGGGGCAAAGTCTCCAAGAACGCCGTGACAACGCGGCGAGATTTCCACTGATAGCGATAGAGTCGTGTAGGGTCTCCTAGAACGCCAGGGGACGGCGCGCACTTTGGGCATGCACAGGATACGCGCCGTATGGTCGCGGATTGATAGGAACGCAGTAGAAACGTAACTTATGATCGCCGTAGCAGCGCGGTGAGATCTCTAACAACGCAATGGTGAGCTCCGTAGGGACGCCGTGAAGACGCACATGATCGCAGCATGAACGCAGTGATAGTAGCTTCCGAGGAGACCTCGCGGAGTCCTTGGGATGTCACAACGTTTCTATCGCGCTTTTAATGTTCTGTCACACCAAGCTGCGTCCACACAGAGTTTTTACGGCGTTGTTGAATTTGTAAAATCGCCGCGGAATCGCAGGGAAATTTCACAAATTTCTGTAAAATTTTCACAAAGTGAAGATGTCACGGCGTCTCGACGGCGACCGACGCGTTTCTTCGGTGTTCTCGCGGCGTGTCACAACGTTCCCACAAAGATCTCTTGGCGATTGCCTGCGCTTCCGTGGAGTTTTCACGGCGTGTTAGGAGTTGTCACCTCACGTTCACGGCGTTCTCAATGCGCTGGCTGCGTTCACAATGCGTTCATCACCCATGGATACTTATTTATATGGTATGGGACATTTTTAAAAAAAAGATTACACGATGAAAAGACTTCTACTGTGTAAAGAAATATTCTTTAATCAAAGATGATCTATATGTATAATTATGTTCTCCAAACGAAGTTGGGGAACATATTGTTTTTACTCTGTTTCTTCTTCTTATTATTTTTCTTCTTCCTGGGCACTTATTTGTCCGCGAATGATCTTGTAAACTGTTCATCCAATGTAGGTAAAAACAGGAATTAGGCACAAAAAGGGATTTGGGGAGCTTTTGGGGAACATCTGTAACGGTCCCCGTTACAATTAACACTAGTTTAATGCTAAATTCTTTTAAGTTTTGAATGTCAAAAAATAAACACACACTGAAAAGGTGTTTTAAAGTTTTAGTAACTCCACTGAAGCAACAGAACATATTCTGGTGTAAATTCTTCATCCCAATTCTACTCCCATGCTCCTGGTCAGGAGTGCAACTATGAGGCCATTGCTTTTGTTTTCTGAGCTGGATGACAACACCGTGAAAGCGCTTTGTGATCGCCAATGGACGCTGTAGAAACGCCAAGGGAGCGCAATCTTCGAAGTGACAACTCCTTGCTGTCGCTGTGTAATTGCAATCGAAAAAATCACAAGACGATAAATCTAATCAGAAGCGCAGTAAAAGCGCAATAGAAGCGCGGTGACATCTCCAAGGACTCCGTGAAGTTCCCGTGGAAGTGCAGTCTAATACCACTGCGTTCATGCTGCGATCATGTCTTGCGTTCTTCACTGCGTTGTTGGAGATCTCACCACGCTGCTACGGCGAACATACTACGTTTCTATACTGCCTTCTTATCAGACTGCGATCACATGGCGGTTACTTTGTGAATGCCCAACGTGCGCGCCGTTTTCTGGCGATCTAGGAGACCCTACGCAGGCCTACCCCGTTCAGTGGAGATCTCGCCGCGTTGTCACGGCACTGTAGGAGACTCTACTGCGCTCACCTCAGCGTTTTGCATTTTTTAAGGACGCCGTGCAATTGCCGTGATGATGCAGCCCTGGTGTAACAGGGGTTTTACGGCGGTTCTTATGAGATTTATCGTCTTTTTTTGACTGCGATCACACAACGACAAATAGGATCACTGCGATCATTTCGCCCCTTTGCGTTTCTACAGCATCCGTTGGCGATCACAATGCGCGTTCACGGCATTGTTGGAGTGTTGTCGGCCATTTCACAAAATAAGAGTTTGATCAGAAATAATCCTAACGTATTTTTTTGCACACCTGACCAAGAGCATGGGAGTCTTTAACGTATAATTGTAAAGTGAAAATAACACCAGAAGTTGTTTTGATGTTTCAGTTTAAATTTTATAACAACTTTTCAGTGTGTATTTTTACATTCGAAATAAAATTATTAAAGAAAAGATGAAAACACATCTGAATTGATAAAACTGAAAAAAAGATTTTTTTATATAAATAAAAATTTAGATAATTCAGTACTAAATTATTCAAATAAATCTTTTTTAATTAAATATTTCTCAACATAAGTAAAGACTTTCCTCAACTTGAATCTTTGAAAAATGTGCTACACTCACTCTGTATTTATAACCGTGGGTAAAGAATGCATGATGAACGTAAGTGTGAACGCAGCCAGCGCAGTGACAACGCTATAAACGCAAGGTGACAACTCCTAGCAACCCTAAAAAAACTTCCCCGAAGCGCAGTCACTCGCCCAGAGATCTCCGGGAGACCACCGTAGCATGCTGCGAGAACGCCGTGGAAACCCAATGGTCGCCACTGGGTCGCCGTAGGGACGCTGAGACAATTTCACAGTGTAACAATTTTACTTTTTGCAATTTCCCTGCGATTCCACGGCGATTTCAAAATATGTATTTTCCCTGCGATTCCACGGCAATTAAAAAAACTTAACAACGGCTTAATAACTCTGTTGCCCACGTAGGGGACACAGCTTGGTGTGACAGGGCTCTACGCAGAATGTATATCGCGCGGATCTAAGAAGTCCGATTTTAATTAGATTGGATCAATTTTTTAAAATGTTTTTAAAGATATAAACAATAAAAACTGATATTAGCAATAAGGGTGTTTTTAAGATGAGTCCTGTGAAAGTAACAATCCTTCAATCACAAATTTCGATCAATCAATTATTTATTTGAATCTCTTCATCATTTTACAACAGTATACAGAGATTACAAGAACATATATAATGTATATGTAATGTACATAACATTGCAATTTCAGTGTTAACCCACAAGTCCAACTTGAACAATTGTAAGTAGATATTGCTTCAGTAAAGATCGGTTAGTAGTTATGAGTATGTTGACTAAGCCCTGCAGGTCGATGGTCATTTTTCTCCAATGTCTATTTTGTTTTCTCTCTCATGGTCACGCACAAATTGGTCTTTGACTTTCCGCTTTTTGCCACACAACAGATAGAAGCCGTAAGCGCAAAGTTCGATCATCAACTGCACAACTTCAAACATTGCCAACACAGACAAACCGATCCACAGACCAATAGCGCCGCCTATGTTGGATGCAAACTCTGCAAACTATGTAATAATTGAAATTATCATTTAAATTTCTTTTTTTTCATTAAAGATTGCAGAAAACTAGCAAACTTACGACGGCGTATTCGTGCCATATTGACAATGCAGAGAAAGTTTTAAAAAATCGTTTGTACGATTTTTTAAATCGTTTGAACGATTTAGAAAATCGTTTGTACAATTTAGAAAATCGTTTGTACAATTTAGAAAATCGTTTGAACGATTTTTAAAATCATTTATACGATTTTTTAAATCGTTTGAACGATTTAGAAAATTGTTTGTACGATTTAGAAAATTATATGAACGATTTTTTTAAATCGTTCAAACGATTTTTTAGATTCGTTCAAACGATTTAGCAAATCGTTTGTACTATTTAAAAAAATCGTATGTACAATTTTTATTTCTTGTTATTACACGTAGAAGAAGCGTAGTAGAAAACCTTGCACAAGTAGGACATCGTACCCACACACAGTTTTAATGAATGACAGAGAAAAATTGATCAAGGAATATTTCAAGATGGGTTTCACTTTTTCGGAAATTGCACAGATCCTTTCGCAAACTCACCGAGTCTTTGTTAGTGAACGAACGTTGAAAAGCACAACAGTTAAGTTGGGACTATTCAGACATAAGAACAAATCCGACATAGGGGATGTAGCTCTTTTCATTGAGAAAACACTTAAGCCATGTGGTCAATTGCATGGATAAAGGTGGTTGTAGTAGAAAGCTATTATAGCAGGATTAACCGTTTCTCAAAGAGATATTCGATGTCTTCTTTCTATACAAGATTCGGAGGGAGTGTGTTTAAGGAAAAGAAATAGATTATACAAGTGATCATAAAAACATTGTGAATGTAATCGTGATATGATGGTTAACTAATTATAATATTACAACAATATTCATACAAGTTTAATTAACAAGACACAATTTATTTTAAGTGTTTCTGTACCTGTTATAGTCAGCAGCGAAGGGACTTCTCTATACAAAAGCTTTACCAGGTTTCTTATCCAGTACCCTTCCGTTCCGAATCAGAATAAAAAAAAATCGTTCAAACGATTTGACAAATCGTACAAACGATTCAAAAAATCGTACAAACGATTTAACAAATCGTTCAAACGAATTTCTAAATCATACAAATGATTTTCTAAATCGTTAAAACGATTTTCTAAATCGTTCAAACAATTTTCTAAATCGTTCAAAGGATTTTCTAAATCGTTCAAACGATTTTTAAAAAAAAGAAATTCTCTACATTGTCAATATGGCACGAATACGACGTCGTACAAACTACATGTACTTGCATTGTTTAAAGTTTTATCAAACATTCTGCCAGATTTACACTCTTGCTGAAATATATTCACAACGATTATAATATGTGAAAGTTAATTTAAAGTCATTGTTGTATCAAGGTCATCACCACCTTCCCTTTTTACTGTATAAAACCAACAATTAAAATTTTAAAAAATTGAAAGAGCAAGTTGCTTTTTTTGGTAAAAGTGAATACATGTAAAAAAAAATTTTCTTTTCCTTTTTTTTAAAACAAAATAATCATAATACATGTACTGTGTCATGAACTTGACTCATGATCAAATAAGACAGATCAGATTAAAAAAAAAACATGATTGGATTTGAGCTGTACAACCCTGGTAAATGTGATTAGGGCAAAATAGGCGAAAACAAAACGAAATTTTCCCTGTATACAATATTACAATGTTTGTGTTTGTTAAATCGTAAGTCATATGTTTTGTTTGTAAGTCACTAAGGTGTGTGGTAGCCCCTAAAATAATGCTTACGGTAGATGCAGGCGATTCTACTAGCTCTTCAAAGTTAAGATCCTCATAGTAAATAGTGACCTTGGAGAAATATCCACTGAAAAATATAAGGATACGTGACAACAGCAAAGACTTGTGAATCATAACAAAGAAATATTTTTAAAAGTATATTGTATATGATATATGACTCAAATGCCTTGCTCGGAGTTGAACAAGGGAAATTAGGGCTCCGAGGTACTTATTCTGTATCCATCTACTTTTCTCTTCAGTACTCAGACACTAATTCATAGCCTGTTCCATAGATATTCAACAACAAGCCATCAATACTTTCGTTTAAAGTATTAAAGTTAAGACCCCAAACACGACACTTTCGGTTGCCTTGCCAATCTCATCCTTAATAAAATCGTTTTGTAACACTGATTAATACATACATCATATCGGATGGAGAAGATCTCATTCGTTGCAATATAATGCACTTCTCTGGGTGAGATTGACACACCGTCTGCATTAAACTAGTCTGTAAGTAAAGAGATTGATTGCTATCAAACGCCGAGTCGGCAATATTTCAGCCATATTTGGGTGGCGTAGATAAAGTAAAGAAAATATTAACATGGCGGATGATAAAATGCGTCTCTTCCTTTATAACAAACAAACATCCACAATTATCTATTGTATACAGCTCAAAAAACTTTTTAAACTCACATGGTTTTTTGCACAAAATAAAGTCACATTTTTCTTGCAACAGAACTTAAAATTATCGAGTTTCACTACGAGACATAATCGTTATATTAATAAATATTTCATGTTAAAGGTGCATATTCTCTAAAAATCATTATCTTCAGTTTTAAAATTCGATGTTCTAAAAGGGAATTTGTTTATAAATTGTATGATGTTAAATGTGTATGATTCTGTCATATGTATTTACAAATTAATTAATCAAACTTTCTTTGATACAATTTGGTTGAAATGTACAAATTGACTTCTTACAGATGCGTATATTTCTAGGTACTTCGCACATTTTTCATACTTTCCTTGGTTTTGAAGAAATGCAGCGCCGAAAAATGATAAAACTGCATAAAGAAATCATGTGAGAGGATAGGATAATAAAGTATTGTTTATCTTTCAACATAGTAAATTGTAAATATTGAAAAGAAAATTCTTTTACATTTATGGTCTGAAACTTCGAAATTTTGCGTTGGAAGGAATCTTTCATGATGCTAGATTCCAAGAAGTTAAACTGAAAAATGCCATCTTTTTAACATGGAAAGCAGTCTAACAGATGATAAATACTTCTATCATCTCGCGCCTTAGTGTCATATTAATGTACAGAAAGTACAGAAGTTACACGAAGTGCACTGTTTCTGTATTAAGGCAAGGCAAAGGTATTATCACGGTGTGATTTTTTATAAAAACAATTTTAGTAACATATGTTTTAGCTGACTTTAAAATATACTCTTGATTTACTGTAATTATTTTAAACAACTTGAAAAACTTTAATTATGCTAATTACTATGTAATCTCTGGAAATTATTATTTAATCAATTTACTCAACATGTCATGAGTTAGCATATAAAAATCTGTCCAAATAGATTTGTGCTATTTGCCTTTGTTATATTTTATTATTTATATGTTGGAATATTGTTAATCAGTTAAAAATCAATTGTTCGGGTGCAATTTTTGGATTTCCGGAAATACCGACCTACGTTTATAATAAAGTGCTATTCCATCGTTAGCATTTTTATGTTTCATTGTTGCCGGAAAGTTTGACACTTATTTTTCCCGGTGATAATTTTTGGAAAATGGGACTGCTGCTTATATTTTGTAGCAGTTTGATAGTACCATTTTTATATATTTAAACACCATGCCAACCTGGAGAATTGACTTTACCGCTCCTCCCCAAAATAACCAGCGCCATTGTCTTTCGCGTCCTTGGATCACACCAGGAAATTTTCTCGACACCAGGATCCTTTCCACGGTGCTATATGCGGGAAATCAAATACTTCCACGGCCACCTTTTCACGTGTCCAGCTACACGTTCCGAGTGTTTCGTGTGCGGAAAACTTGGTCATTATGCGCAAGTATGTTTTTCTTCTGCAACAACACCTTACCGTTCCTCCCAAAGGAAATCATTTCCAGTGGCGTTCATCGATCACTCAACGATCAAAAAGGATCAAGCCAAGGGGTCAGGACGGGCCTGCTTGAAGACAAACCTGGGAAACCCGTCTGTAGGATCGTCTGACAACAAGTCAGCAACAACATGCGACTTGCAGGTGTGTGTTTTTCTCGGACTGCTACCAAATCTAGTCCGATGGTGTTGCTGTTGCGGAGACGCAAAGGGAGCGTTATAAACATTTGTCTGCAGACCAAGTCCGTAAGCAAACGGCGAAGGGATTCAAGAAGAATAAAGGATTATTACGATAAGTTGCGGTTAGTGAAATCCTTACCATTTCAATTAAGTTCAGAAGATATTTGCAATTTATTCAAATGACAGCCCATACCACCCAACTAATTTTTTGCTTGAAAACAAGACCTTAAAGACAAAGATAAGTGAACTAATAACAAAATGTGAAAATCTTCAAACAGTGACATCCGCCCTCCATAATCGAATATCAACATTGCAAAACAACCAAAACCCATCAAACAACGGAAATGGGAAATTCAACTAAGCGTTTTAAAAAGACAAAATTTTCTTGTACCAACACCAACCAAGAGTTACTGGTACCAACAACCCAGTGCTGTGCATTTCAGTTCCGGATATTCATAGACGAGGACGATCATTTTCCGAAGCGAGAGGGAAATATCACGGTGTGATTTTTTATAAAAACAATTTTAGTAACATATGTTTTAGCTGACTTTAAAATATACTCTTAATTTACTGTAATTATTTTAAACAACTTGAAAAACTTTAATTATGCTAATTACTATGTAACTCTGAATCTGGAAATTAATTATTTAATCAATTTACTCAACATGTCATGAGTTATTCCATCTAAGCCATCTGTCACTCATGCTCAGATTTGTGCTAATTGCCTTTGTTATATTTTATTATTTATATGTTACACGAATCATTGTTAATCAGTTAACTCCTAGGCTTCGGATTGTTCGGGTGCAATTTTTGGATTTCCGGAATTCACCCTACATTTATAATAAAGTGCTATTCCATCGTTAGCATTTTTATGTTTCATTGTTGCCGGAAAGTTTGACACTTATTTTTCCCGGTGATAGTATGCTTAAAAATAAACGGATACAAAGACGGTTGCATTTGAAGAGAAACCGTGAAAAAACCAATTGGAATCTCTCATAATATATCATCCAAGAGCATATAAAAATTCTACCAAATATTATATGTGAATTATGTTTAAAGTAATGGAACATGATCAACATTAAGTTATAAATCAATTTTAAAATATATTTTGTTGTCACAATACACAGTTTTGCATTATAACAATGTGACCTTAATTTGTGCGAAAAACTATGTGAGTTTAAAATGTTTGTTGAGCTATATATCCTTTTTATATTAATTTAAACAAGTACAAATATTGACTGAAATGCACTGAATTAAAAATCAACAAAATATGTTCGACTGTGTCATAATTACGCCACATACTCTATGAAAACAACCCACGTTTTGCTGAGATTGCTATGTGACCAACAAAGTACGAACACAGAAAAGTCCCCATTTATTTATCATCTGTCTTCAGCTGAGCAATGGCCGTAATGTGCCGATGATTTGACTTCCATATTCCATTATCAACCAATGAGTGAAGGCAAGTTCTCATTGAGAAGTTTAATCTCATTTATACTCGAAAAATCAATCATTTGATCAATTTTTTGCTTAAAATGATAGCAGCTATTGTAATTTCAGGACAAGGACATATAAGGTTTTGAAATTTGACAGTCTGAATGTTAAAACAAGCTAATTCAGAGAATTTGTGTCCCCCGCTTAGGGAAAAAGTAAACCATGCGCAGTTCGGGGGGGGGGGGGGGGGAGGGGGTCGGATCCCCTTGACTGAATTTGTAGAATTATTAAATGTATACATGTATAGTGAAGCAAATAAAATATGCCAATATGGATATAAAGGTTTGATTGCTTATTCTTTTTTATGTGTATAGAAGATTCTGGAATATTTATCACACTGTAATGATGATTTTATGAGTTTGTACAAGCCAGCCCTCATAATTTTTTTCATTTCACATGCTGAATACTATCATTTAGTAAAAAAAATGTATTTCGGAAAAAAAGGAAAGAAAAATGGATCATCCGGGATTTGAACCCGGGCCCTCTCACATGTGAAGCTAGAGATATACCACTAGACCACGGAACCGCTTCGTACAAACTAACAATATGTGCAAAGATAAAGTCACATACATGTATACATTCACGTTCGATATTGTCAAAATTTTAAACAATGCACGGTGTCTAATTGTTTAACCTTTATTAAACAGTTCTAATAGATGTAATCAGAATGTAAAGTCCACCGAGAACCTGTTTTATACGTAATAACTCTCCTCATGCCCGAGTGCTAAAAATAGCGACATGTAATACAATAAATACTAATAAAACAAACGGGGCGGGACACTTTGAGAGGGGTGAGACAGGTCCTAGGGAGTTTTGGTATAAAATAACATTGCAAAAGCTCACAATCTTCTTGAAATATCGCCCCGAAAATGATAGTGTTTCATACAGTTAGAATGTATAAATTTACGACCTTGAACTTTGACCTTTTGACCTCAAAATCCTTTAGGCCACAAATTTCATTGCAAAAGCTCAAAGGGTTCTCGAGATATCGTGCGGAAACGAAAGTGTTCTAACAGACAGAATTTGCGAATTTATGACCTTGACCTTTGACCTTTTGACCTCCGAATCAATAGGGGTCTTCTTTAGTCTATAGGGAGTTGATATGCAAAATTTCATTGCGAAAGCTCAAAGGGTTCTCGAGATATCGTGTGGAAACGAAAGCGTTACAGACAGACAAAAAGACGGACGGACAGACCCAAATTAATATCCCCCACTTTTCAAGCGGGGGACTTATCCTCCCTACATTCCATTATTGGGATGCTAAGTGTCTTTTGATTCGATATTACATCATGTTTCTAGATTTTTTTTAAGATGATCACTGTTCGTTATCTGCTCTCCTTTTGCATGAAATAATATATTTAATTAAAACTGTATTTGGCTATCATAGTGTCTCCTAATGAAAGCTTACTTTTTGTCCCCCGCTTGAAAAGTGGGGGATATTAATTTGGGTTTGTCCGTCCGTCCGTCCGTCTGTCCGTCCGTCCGTCCGTCTGTCCGTCTTTCTGTCTGTCTGTAACGCTTTCGTTTCCACACGATATCTCGAGAACCCTTTGAGCTTTTGCAATGAAATTTAGCATAGCAACTCCCTATGGACTAAAGAAGACCCCTATTGATTTTGAGGTCAAAAGGTCAAAGGTCAAGGTCATAAATAAGCAAATTCTGTCTGTTAAAACACTTTCGTTTCCACACGATATCTTTAGAACCATTTGAGCTATCGCAATGAAATTTTACATAACAACTCCCTGTGGCCTAGTGAAGACCTCTATTGATTTTGAGGTCAAAAGGTCAAAGTTCAAGGTCCTAAATTTATACATTCTGTCTGTGTGTAATACTATCATTTCCGGGCGATATTTCAAGAAGATTTTGAGCTTATGCAATGTAATTTTATACCAAAACTCCCTAGGACGTCTCTCGCCCCTCTCAAAGTGCCCCGCCCCGTTTGTTTTATTAGTATTTAGAGTATTACATGTCGCTATTTTTAGCGCAGGGGCATGAGGAGAGTTATTGCGTATAAAAGAGGTTCTCGGCGGACTTTATGTTCTTATTACATCTATTATAACTGTTTAATAAAGGCTAAATAAATCAAACACCATGGATTGTGTAAAATTTTGTGAATACCGAACATGAAAACATGAATATATACATGTATGTGACTTCAGTTCTGCATATACTTCACTAAATGTAAAGAGACTCCGTGGTGTAGTGGTTATGTCTCTCGCTTCAAATGTGAGAGGTCCCGGGATCGAATCTCGGTCGAACCTTTCTCTTTTTTTTTTTTTTTAAATACTTTTTTTTTTTTACTAAATGATAGTATTCAGCATGTGAAATGAAAAATTTATGAGGTTATAAAATCATCATTACAGTGTGTTAAATATTCCATATAAAAAAATATTCTATACACATAATAAAGAATAAGCAATCAAATCTTTATATGCATATTGACATACATGTATTTTATTTGCTTCAGTATACATGTATACATTTAATAATTCTACAAATTCAGTCAGGGGGAGCCGACTTTTTCCCTAAGCGGGGGACACGAATTCTCTGAATTAGCTTGTTAAATAATAAGTTTGCGTTCCTTATCCCTTACTGCATATTAGTTTTTCTTTTCATTGCATATAATGCGGAAAGGAATATTTTCAATACATTAATTCTTAGTCCCATATAACTAATTTCACCAACTTTAATTGTTTGATTGTTTACAATTGTGAACTTCATTCATTGTTTCGTATTTGATAAAGCAAGACAAAACCTACGCTGTAGACTCTTTTAGATTATATTTAAGATTTTAACCTTTATATTCCAACTTGTACGTAAGAAAGAAAACAGTTAGTATCTTTATCCTTAACATCTTATGTAAAAGGACGTTTGTGTAAAAATACTAAGAATAATTCCTACCGGGGTACTCAGACTCCTAAGAGAAAAACCCCTCCTTTTGAGAACTACTTACTGCATAGGGCATAGAAGGCCACTGTCGAACACTCTTGCTCATGGAATAAATCTGCTCACTTAAAACAAAATAAATTGTCAACACGTAGATGCCATAAACAGCTGATAAATACACCTGTGTTCATATTTTCAAATTATTATAAATAGGTAACAGAAAACAATTTCTTCTTACCGGCAAGGATTTAAACACGTGCATGTTCGTTTAAACGACTTAAATGCTGTTTCCACATCTTCCAAACATTTAAACTCTACCAAAGAAATAAATTGTTATAAACATTAGCAAACAAAATTGTTGTTTTTCATACGAATGTACTTTTATAGGAGCTGAGATAGGAAATTTTCCCTGTTAATCTGTATAGTTATGACTTTTAATATTCATATTGTGAGAAACTGTTGTATCTGGAAATAAAAAAAATAATTTCTCATTGAAATTCATCTAAAATATTTTAAAAGAATTGGATGACTAACAAAATAGACCAAAAGTACAGAAAATGATATCTAAGAAGTTTTTCGGTTAAAAAAAAACTCATATAATTTCAAGCAGCCAGTAAACTTAAGTTTACAATGATTCGATTATTTTATTATATTTAAAAAAATCCTCGATCATCTATACAAAGGCCATTTGATAAAATAACACGTCATCAATTTCATTTAATATATTTAAAAGAGAAATTGTATTCTTTATCCTATATAAACAAGGTAATGTCCCTGGGAAAATGAATTTTTTCAGACATCCTTGATAAATTTTTGAAATATAAAGCAATATCGATATTAGAAATTGTTTTCACTGTAAATATTATGAAATGGTAAATAGGGCATCCAGAAACGTCTGTCCTCATAATTACTGCGACCTAGGGAACAATAAAATAAAGTGTAGGAACCTCCAACCGTATGAAACATTAATGTATCCAGTTTGATATAAAAAAATAGTACATTTAATATTTAGTTCAAAATTTATATACTAGCAAATAGAACGTTTAGTGTTTATTGTGTATAAGCCCTCTCCACAGGTACAAGGTAAATTTAATAATACACACATAGTAACAGGTTCATATATCACCAATGAATTATATACTGTATAACTGACACAAAGTTAAATAGAATTTAAGACAAAGTACAAAAAAGTACATATGAGAAAAAAAGAAAAAAAAATGAATTATACCGGTTTATGTGGAAATGAGAGGAAAAAATCGAAAAATGAGAATTACAGCATTTTATAAACATACAATGAATGTGTAAATGTATTTGATTTAGGCTAGTCCGAAAAATCTGACGTTTTCCTGGCTTATTTACGATTTTGATATCCTGGCATGTAAAATATCAAATTCGTAAAAAAGCCAGGAAAACGTCAGATTTTTCGGACTAGATTTAGGCAAGAACTCGGACTAGATTTAGGCAAGAACTAGAATAGATATTTCATAGTTTCACTTCATTTATGAAACCTTTTGGTATGTGATATATATGTATGAACACAATCAAATAATTACTTAAGACATACATTTCTTTGGAACAATTATTAGTAATAAAGTAGCAATTTAAATTAATGAACAGGGATTATGATTGCATTCATTTTCTGATGAACTGGTACTAAGTCATCTCGCGTACATAAAAAGCTACCACATCTACTATATATGCATATAAAAATCTTTTTTCGAATAATGAATCATAACTCTATCTGAAAATCTACATAAAATGGCGATACCTGCTTCCGTCTGACATCCTTTATATTCATTGGTTTTATTTATAAAGTAGTAGAACTCTTCAGCGTTAGGTGGAAGGCATCCACAGGCGTCACGCATGGCTGCATGGATGCAAGTTCTGCGACATTCCTGAAAGTATAATTCAACTTTTATGCTTTAGCAATTAAGGTGGAATTCTCTGCTTCTGTATTTAAGCTTGGAAATATTCAATGCCCGAATCTTCGAGAATGATTTTCAAATTTAAAAGAAGTGACTAGTACTAGTATCAATAAAAAAGTATGAATAAAAATATCTAAAATAAATATGTATAGAATAAAATAATATTCTTTAAATTCAATTCCTATTTTGTGTAAACTTAATTTAATTTGGTATTATAATGATATGTGAATTTTACAAACAATTTTTGTGCCTCAATGTTCTGGGAAAAATGTTTATTTGAATACGATTTCGCACAAACAGCTCAAAGGGAGAAAATCAGGCACCGAAACCCCATAAAACAAAATTTGATACATGTATTTGGCAACCAGGAAAAAACTCAATTTACCTTGATGAAATTTACAAAAAAATATCAGTTAAATATTTTTCCTTTTGTATAACAAAAATATTTAGCTGATATTTTTTGAAACCTCTAAACAAAGAAATTGATAGCTAATGTTGTTAAGCAAAAACTGCGAAGACCTCTTCTCTTCCTTACACAAATATAATTGCACATACATCATGGGATAATAGAATATTTATCGCAAGATTTTGAATATATATCAAAAGATTTTGAATATACATCACAATATATTGCACATACATCACAAGATTATAGAAGATACATCACTAGAGATTTTGTACACACATCATAATGATTAGCATATACATCACAAGATATTGAACATACATCACAAGATTATCGAATAAAGCAACGTTTTACTTATAATAATTACACATTATATGTGTACATTTTTAACCCAGCTGCGTAAACTCTTACATTTCGAGTGTATTTAAACCCATTTTTCTTTTCAAACCCAATCACGTCTTCGCACTCTCTATAAGGGGGAGGCACTCTTTTGACATCTCTCTGGAAGAACATGTCAATACTTAATTCAACTTTTCACCATTATCATTGTAATTTTATAATTCATTATAATCGTGATTTCTCTGATTCAGTCATTCCTTACCACTAGTAAGCCGATATTTGAATGGAAGCTTGTTGGTATTGATAAACCCTTGTCAGATGGATTAGGAAAGGTTCCTGGATTGTGTACTTGTAAACGTAAACCATAGCCCTGGCTTATCGAATCTACGTACTCGTCTTTTTCGGTGAAGAATATGAAAGAAAGGCCTGTAAATGAGAATGATATTTGGAGATCACGAACTAGAAGTACTGTGAGCATTGAGCTCACTAAATAATACTCACTCCCCCGCCTCCCATATATGACATTAATGGCAAAGTCCATGTTTTGCTTTGGGAGCCCCGAAATAAGTGTCAGATCAAAACGTAAAATAGGAGATGCACAGTGGCATATTAAAAAATCCGAGAAAGTTGCATTGAATTGTATTCGAATTGTGGATAAGAGATGGGTATCCTTAAATTCTACAATGTTATGACAGTGCCCATGTTTTAAATAGCTATGGAAACTCGAAATATGTGTCTGATCAAAAAAATGTATACAGTGGGACTATGTAACAAATAATGAATCGGTGAAGGTCTCATTAAATTTCATTCAGTGGTATTAGAGTAGTTGCGGATAAGAAATAGGTAACCAAAACGTAACGGACGTACGGACACCCCCATCACTATATAGGAGTTTCCCCTTCTTTTCAATCAGGGGTGGGGTGTAATAAAGCTCTAAAGACCACTGAAACATTACAAATTTAGAGCGGACTTCTAAAACATCAGAGGTGAGATCAGGTGTCATGTAGGAGTAAGCATCACACCCACTGTGTGCTCTTTGTCATTATCAGGTAAATGAATTCGAAATTCAGTAGACAACCCAGTAATAAAGTAATTGCCTTACTATTTGTGTGAACAACATCAGTTAACATTCTACTTAATGTATTTGCTGAAGAGATCACTGCGTCCAAAACTTGGTCATTAAAGTTTATTCTAGTTTTAATTTTTCTGCAATTTGCCGCAGATATTTATGTATCTATTTAAATGTTAAATATACCTATATAAATGTCATGCAGCTTATTAAAGGTCGATATTATATTGACAGTAATGCACATTTTTTTATTGTATCAAAGGTCATTCAACAATCTGTATCTTTAGCAACTAGACTGAGGATGTTCTATAAACTCACAAAGTGCATTTAAAACAGTGTGACATATAACTCTGGAAAAGACATTGTCCAGACTTTTTACTGCCATTTCTAACTGCGATGTCAAAAATATACCGGTATTTTAGCACTCGGTGGGAATTTTTAGCAGTACGTAATTACGGTCTCATGTTGAACTCACACACATCTCTTTTTCCAAAAAAACTTTTTTGAAAAAAGTCATAATCCAATAAGAGAAATGTGGGAATTTTAGTCTTAACAACTATCCCACCTTTCTCCCATTGAAGAATGTTAAGATATCTCCCAATGGGATTTTTTCTTCAAAAATTTGATCAAATGGGATAAATCTCATGGATATTGACAATAAGACATGTTTCCCCGAAACCCAACCCCATACATTGTAAAACATTGGATATATCCCATAGATTATGATATCTAACTCATCATAATCTGTAGGATATATCCCATTCTTAATAATGTTTTGGAGAAAATGACTCATTGTCAACATCCTTGGCACTTATCCCATTTGTGGGAGAAAAAAATCCCAATGGGAGAATGATCAAATCTGGCACAGTTTCCCCAACGGGAGAAAGGTGGGATACTTATTAAGACTAAAAATACCACCATTCCCCCAGGGATTTTGACATTAAGGACTTTATATCTTAATAAAATGATGTTTGTGATATCAACTCTAGACTGCAAGACACTGTCGTGTCTGGGTTTTCTTATAGTTAATGTCGCACTGTTATAAACATGATAACGATATAATAATTTTACCTGACTTTGGCCCGGCTTCTTTGGAAATAAATTTTTCTGAATGTAGCGTGAAACAGTTTCCGTACTCTGGTGTATTTATTAATGTAAAATCCCTAAAAAATAACCATGAATATATCTCTCGATTAAATAACACCATCATATGGTGTGATAGAGCTCATACATGTACGTTCTTTATTCTCAACTTACTGAGGGTAGCATTTATGTCCATTAAAGGAACAGTCCATGAGCATCATATCAATCTGGTGTCCAGACCGAATTCTTGTAGCTCTGTTATAATAACATATTAACAATAAAGACGATAATAATAAAATAACGGCAATTAAAAAAATATAGACGTGCTAAACATATACTGATCAACCCCTTCCACACACGAAAACATTTTTTTTAATTTGATACCTGTCTAACTCAAGGTATATTTTCGTGAAATTGACAGCAAATTCATGTAGCTGCGATGTATCAGCATTCCTCTGATCCAAAAAAAGAAATGATATGAAGCAAGATTTCATTCATCTTCGTACACTTAAATCAACAAAAAATAAAATAAAGACAGTAAATACAGAATTGTATCACCTTTCGTCGACCAGGTGGCGGTTGTCCACCATCAGGGGGGCCACCTCCGCCCCCAGGGGGACCACCGCCCCCACCACCAGGGCCACCACCACCAGGAGGGCCACCAGACTACAAAAAGAAACCAACAAGATAATGGTTCTTCCTTTTATATAAGCTTTCTCCAGTCGCACGGGCCTCACAAACTTAAGGTTTCATCAAAGGTCAACATGTCCAAAAAAAAAAAAAAAAAATTATTTTTTACAATAGCTCCAAAACTATGTGGTTTATAAAGTTGAAACTTTTACAGTTTATAGATTTATCATTGATTAACAGAAATAGAAAGTACCACTTGATAACAAATACTGATTAAAAATATTTATCGAAAACATTCTTTTAAACAATGTCTACATTTTCAAAAAATACACCCAATTCCGTACTTTTAGTGAAAGCCATCATTGCAGAAAAAAGTGTTTGTTATACCTTTAAAAATTTGTTCCCATACAAATCAACACGGAAAAAAGTCTAACATTTCCAATGTTTTGCTGAGCGGTGTTACAACGCGAAATGTAATAACAACGCCAAATGTAATAAACATGGATTATTACATTTTGCGTCGAAATCACCGCAAAATGTAATAAGGCAAAATGTAACAACATATTTTTGAGGATTATTACATTTTGCGTTATTACGTTTTGCATCGACATCAACGCAAAATGTAATAACGCAAAATGTAATAACACGGTTTTTGGATTATTACATTTTGCATTGTTACATTTTGCGTTTAGATTAAGAAAAAGGCAAGAACACAAAATGTAATAACACACTTTTTGGTCAGCCAGATTGAGTACAATTTTCAATAAAGTAGTGGCTGATGAAAAGAAAATAAAAACAAAAGGGAAAATGCAATTTCTTACAATTAATGAATTTTATAATATATTGATTTAATTAGCTACATGTATTTAAAATCAGTTTAATACATGTATTCAAATTAAAGGTGTTGCAAATTAGAAACGTCCGTGTGTGGGCGGGGTTGTTGTTATAGGTGGGTGTTATTGACAAGTGTGCTTTTGCTTTTTTTAAAATAGACAAATGCAATGAATCTATTAAAACAATCTATTCAGTTGTACTGGCAGGTGTTAATATACAGCGGGAAGGCGGTTTATTGACAATTATATATAATACTGCATCATACAAATCACCAGCATTGCAGAGAAGCAAAAACACAAATTCTTTCTCTTTCTTTCTTCCTTTGCTATGGTCAATCTATAGTAATTAATATGTTATTGGTTAGAAATTTGATAAGACGTATTCATCAAAAATATGCCAAATGCTTTATAATTAGATACAATGTATTCAATAAAAGTCAGAGTTAGAAAAAAGATACATTTAGAATTTTAGATGTATTTATGTCCGTAAAAGCCGTAACGTTGATCTCATTGTTTTAGCTTAAATATTTTGTGAAGCGTGCTTCACAAGTTGTTACATGTATATATTTAAATCAATTTTATGTTTTGAGTTAACTTCACTAAAAGTACAGAATTAGCAAAATGTTAAAATCCCAGTTCATTACATTTCGCGTTGTTATTACATTTTCGTTGTAACAGAGCGGGCATAAAAAAAAAATAATTGGACCGCTGAGTGAGATGTTGGACCGCTTACGTCACAGAAAGCTTAATCTCATTTTCATTCGTTCGTGTTAAAAAAAAAAAAAGATGCAATTTTTATTTATATATATTTTTCGATAAATGTTTTAAAATTTTTTTTTCATGATGCTTTCTACAATGAAGCCCACTGAAGTGGTAATATATTTTTCGATTGGATGTACATTTAAAAAAGAAAAAGATGCAATTTTTATTTATATATATTTTTCGATAAATATTTTAAAATTTTTTTTTCATGATGCTTTCAATGAAGCCCACTGAAGTTAAAATTTTTCGATTGGATGTTTCTTATCGAACGTCAATCGTTAATGTGATATGCCCATTTCTTTAGAAACTTGAAAAAAAAATATTTGACATAATGCTTTATGACACCCCACTCTTCAGTCTTTGTGACTAACAACATGATATATAAAACGGAACTTTTAAAAAAATTAGAAGAGATAATGACTCCTCACTTCTGAAAAATTCGAATTGCGTGGAATATGAACTTTTAAAAAAATTAGAAGAGATAATTCCAATCCGGCTACCGCCGGTTCCATAAAATTTGGCCAGTTTATACAGAATCCGGAGTGCAGGAAAAATGCAGGGAAATATAAATTTCGAAAAATTACGTACATCATATGCATATTATAAATAAAATTAAATGATGAAATCAATTACTATTCTGTCTAGAAATTATAAAATAGTCTCACATGACTTACTGTATTTTCTTATTTGTTCACGAATTTATCGGGTGAAATGTTACCTCAATCGAAATATACAGGCAGCATAATATACCACTTTGTATCGTAAGCACGCTTTCAGACCTCACTTAATGTATTAAC